AAAAAAAAGTAAAACTCTATGATCATCTCAATAGACATAGGAAGAGAATGTGATGAAATTCAATATCCATTCAAGATAATTCTCAGCAAACTAAAATAGAAACAAATTTCCTCAATCTGATCTATAAAATCCTACAGCTATCATAATACTTAATGGTGAAAGACTAATAGCTATCCCCTAAGATCAAGAACAAGTGAAGGATGCCTACTCATACCATTCCTATTCAATCTCATACTGAAAGTCCTAGCCATGGGATAAGGCAAGAAAAAATAAAGAAGTACAGATTAGAAAGGAAGAAACATGTTATTAAAAAAAAAAAACCAAAAAAAAAAAACCAAAAAAAAAACCCATGTTATTTGTAGATGGCATAATCATCTGTGTAGAAAATCCTAAGGAATCTACCAAAAGACAACTAGAATTAATAAATGAGTTTTCACAGATACAGGGCCAATATACAAAAAGTACATTTCTATGATACTAGCAATAAAAAATTAAATATTAAAACTTTTTAGAAGTACATTTAAATAGTAAGAAAAATGTGAAACATTTTAGAAAATTTTTAATATACTATGTGCACTGAAAACTATGAAACAATGCTGAGAATAACTTAAATAACCTAAGTAAATAACAGTTGTAACACATTCAGGAACTGGAAGACTCAGTATCGGTTTTTGTTTTGTTTTGTTTTTTTGAGACAGGGTTTTCCTATATTCCCAGGCTGGTCTGAAACTCTTGGCCCCAAGCAATCCTCCCACCTCATCCTCCCAAGTAGTTGGGATTACAGGTACGAGCCACTACACCTGGTTCAATATTGTTAAGATGTCAATTCTTTCCAAATTGATCTATAGATCAATGCCAATTAAAATCACAGCAGGCTTTTCTGTAGAAACTGACAAACTTTTCTAAACTTCATGTGAAAGTAAAAAGGATCTAGAATATCCAAAACACTTATGAAAAAGAAGAAAGGTAGAGAACATCTACTATAGAAGTGCATGACTTACTATAAAAAGCTTCAGGTTGACCGCGCACAGTGACTCACGCCTGTAATCCTAGTACCCTGCGAGGACAAGGCAGGAGGATCGCTAGAGCTGAGGAGTTCAAGACCAGCCTGACCAAGAGCAACACCCGATCTCTACAAAAAATAGAAAACTGAGCCAGGTGTGGTGGCACATGCCTATAGTCGCAGCTACTCGGGAGGCTGAGGCAGGAGGATTGCTCGCACCCAGGAGTTGGAGACTGCAGTGAGCTAAGATGATGCCATTGCACTCTACCTGGGGTGACAGAAGGAGACTGTCTCAAAAAGAAACAAACAAACAAAGCTTCAGGAATCAAGACAGGACAGTGCTGGCAAAACGGTAAGCATATATATATAAAGAGGAGCACAGGCCCAGAAATAGACCCATACATATAGGATAAACTGATTTTTCTCAAAGATGCCAAGGTAATTCAAAGAGATAAAACCGTCTCTTCAATAAATAGTTCTGCAACACGTGGATGATGTGCAAAAGAGAATGCACATCTACCCTTACTTTAGAATAGATAAAAAGCTTCACTAAAGATGGATCACAGACCTAAATGTATAAGCTAAAACCATTAAGATATATAGAAAACACAGGGCAAAAATCTTTATAACTTTGAGTTGCAAAGATTTCTTACACAGAACATAGAAGCACAAATCATTTAAAAATTGATAAATTGGGCTTGATCAAAATTTACTTTTCGAAAAACAGTGTTATGTAATGAAAAGGCAAGCCATACAATGGGAAAAAATATTTGTGAAGCGTATGTGATAAAGGGCTTGTATTTAGAATGTGTAAAGATCTCTTATAACTCAATAATAAAAACTCAATAAAAATAGACAAAAGATTTGAAGAGCCACTTTACCAAAGAGATACAAATAAAAAATAAGCACATGAAAAGATGCTCAGCAACAGTCACTAAGAAAATATAGATTAAAACCATGTGATGGCCGGGCGTGGTGGCTTATGCCTGTAATTCTAACACTCTGGGAGGGAGGCCAAGGCAGGAGGATTGCTTGATCTGAGGAGATGGAGGCGAGACTGAGCAAGAGCGAGACTCTGTCTCCACTAAAAAAAATTAAAAAAAATTAGCCAGGCAACTAAAAATTTAAAAAATCAGCCAGCCATGGGGGCACATGCCTAGAGTCCCAGTTACTTGGGAGGCTGAGGCAGGAGGATCGCTTGAGCCCAGGAGTTTTTTTTGTTTTTGTTTTGAGACAGTCTCACTCTGTTGCCCTGGCTAGAATGCCGTGGCATCAGTCTAGCTCACAGCAACCTCAAACTCCTGGGCTCAAGCAATCCTACTGACTCAGCCTCCCGAGTAGCTGGAACTACAGACATGCACCACCATGCTCGGCTAATTTTTTCTGTATATTGTTAGTTAGCCAATTAATTTCTTTCTATTTTTAGTGGAGACAGGGTCTCGCTCTTGCTCCGGCCAGATAGCCCAGGAGTTTGAGGTTGCTGTGAGCTGGGCTGACACCATGGCTCTCTAGCTCAGGCAACAGTGAGACTCTGTCTCAAAAACAAAACAAAACAAAAAAACATACGCCTTGTTCTGACTACTAAGCAGCAGGAGTTTTTTGAGTCAGGCCCACACCTGTGTAGGTCTTTGCAGAAAGTTTCAACCACCCCACCTTCTCCCCATCTGAATTTCTCCTTCAGTGGGTCTTTCCTTGGCCTTGCGGTAGAAAGTAAGTATTAAGATAATCGATGCTCTTTCCTCTAGTCCGTGGCAAATAGTGCCCCCTGAAGCACAGCAGGACATGGAACTCAGGTGGTAAAGTCCACTGACACACAGCAGGCCAATGATCTAAATGTGCCCCTCTCCCCCCACAATTATAAGAGAAAATTTTTTTAATTGTCAGACAATTCACACACCCATGAAATACATCCATAGTCCCCAGACATGAACTGTATTTGTGCAGGATGAGCATGTTAAACGCTTTCAAGTCCACAAAACATCATTGGATATCAATCAAAGGTAGGTTTGCTCCTTATTCAACTACCATTTCTAGGTGCCTACTGTGGGCCAAGCCTGTGAAGACACCCTGGGTTGGGTGAGACAGGACCCCAGACAAATTGGCTATGGAAGTAACACAGGGACAGGTGGGCCAGGCCTAGAGGAATGTGGGCTGCGTAGTACCTGACAGCATGGGGGAGCAGCCTGCTCTGAGGCCCTAGAGGTCTGTCTTTACACTGAGCCCACACAGCCAACCTGACCCTGATCAACACCCGCCCCCATCTTGCTCTCGGTCCAACACCCAGAAGCTGCTGTGGAGGAAAAAGAACAGAGGAAAAGGTCACCACTAAAGGGGAAATCTGGGCCACTATACTGTGATGGGCTCCTCCTCCAGCAGGGCCCACAGTCAACCTGGCCTGCAACCCAGATGCTATGGCAGCTTGCTGTGCTCACCTTTCACGGAGACCATTTGAGATCTGCCCCACCTCCTGGTCCTTCCCAGTTACACTGAATCCACTCTCCCTCTCAAAGCAATTTTATAAAATAAAAGTTTATAAAGAAGAGTTCTGGGCGGGGCGTGGTGGCTCATGCCTGTAATCCTAGCACTCTGGCAGGCTGAGGCGGGATGATTGCTCAAAGTCAGGAGTTCGAAACCAGCCTGAGCAAGAGTGAGACCCCGTCTCTACTAAAAATAGAAAGAAATTAATTGGCCAACTAAAAATATACAGAAAAAATTAGCCTGTAGTCTCAGCTACTTGGGAGGCTGAGGCAGGAGGATTGCTTGAGCCCAGGAGTTTGAGGTTGCTGTGAGCTAGGCTGATGTCACGACATTCTAACCCAGGCAACAGAGTGAGACTCTGTCAAAAAAAAAAAAAAGGAAAGGAAAGAAAGAAAGAAGGAAGGAGAGGAAGGAAGGAGAGGAAGGGGGGAGAGGAAGGGGAGAAGAAAGAAGAGGGAAGGGGAGGGGGAGGGGGAAGAAAGAAAGAGGAAAGAAAGGGAAGGGGGGAGGGAAGGGTAGGGTAGGGTTCTGGCAGCAAAGAGACCCCAAGGATCAGCTAGCTATTAAAGCACTACTACAGAAACTGGCACTAGAGTTGAGGCACTGCCTTCAAGGAGTCGTTGACTTAGTGGCTGGTGGCAAGCAGCAAGCAGGTGGACACCCACACTGTACAAAAGCAAAGTACTCCAGGAATAGCTTGGAAGCAGTCCCACATTAGAAAACAGAACAGCAGTGAATGCTGATTGTTACTGGCCGTGTGTAGCAAGGTAAAGACAATAATAGCTCAGAAAAAAATTAGCTGTTTACAAGCAGAATGTCAAAGGGAAGAGAAAACCCCAGGGGCTTAAAATGGTTGCAAAAGCCAATTCCTTCTAGAACTCAAATAGATTTGAAAGCCTTTTTTTTTTTAAATTATTTTTCTTTCTTTACTCAACATTATACTAACAAGGCAAAAAAAAAAAAAGCCTTTTTGGAATAAGGACCCACTGGGACTCAGGCTAAGTCGAAGATGAGATTACAGGTGTGGTCCTCCCAACCAAGCCTGAGGGCCTCAAGGCTGCCAGGGTCCAGATGAGGTGTGGAATCAAGGGAAGGGAAGGGGGAGCCAGGCTAGAGAATTTTATCAGGGAAAGAATATCAGGTGAGTTATCTGTACATGGAATTGTCTAGAACTAAACACAAGAAAAGCCCACTAGCTTTTCAGGAAACTGCATCACCAAAGAAATTCTAAGTCTAAAATAGCTGAAAAGACCCTTTGAGTCCCCACATCATGGTGACCAAGTGTGTCCAGGATAGGGGGGTGGATACCCTACCACCTACTGCAGGTGTGGCCAAAGAAGACCAGAAGGAACATCCCAGAGGGTAAGGCATAGGCCAGAAGATGGTGCAGGAGAGCATGCCCCTGAAGGCAAATGCAGATCAATTTCTTTCACTGCCAGTTGGCCCCAAACCCACAGGGGAGAAGCCAGTAAGTCAGTGAGCCCGCGCTGTCCCGCTGGCCATGCTGGCAGCCACTCACCACTGGCTGGTCAAGGCCACCGTGCCTCTCCTCCTTCTCCACAGTCCTGCGGCAGTCTGGGCACACCCACAGCGGCAGGTGCAGCACGCTGTTGCCCTTGGGAGCCATGGAAAGGGCCAGTTTGCTCGCAGTCTTAATTCCACTCTCTAAGAATGAAGAATCTTTCCGTTCACTTCTGCATAGAAGACAGTAATCCCCAGCGGGGTAGGGTGGTGTCCTATGATTCATGCCAAAACTAAAAGGAGTCTGGAATAGAAAAAAAAAAAAATTCTGTTTTCAAAACCAGATAGACAAAGCCAGGATTCTTAAAAGATATATCTAGTTCTAAATTTAAAATGCATTGTATGTTTATATAGAGAAACATAATATAGGAAACTTGTTGAATAAAACTGAACCTTATGTTCTAGAAACTTATAATACCTCAAATAAAATAGTAATACCATCAAGAAAATCTTAGTAGGAATTAGAAAACTGTTCACATAACCCCTTCACCTTGACTTCTGTATCACCTCCCCTCAGGTGCTGGAAATGGTCAATTTTCAGACTATGAGAAAGCACCATCAACAAAGTTTGAAGTCACTATTCTACAGGCATCTGCAGCCAAGCAGGGCTCAAGCCAGAGGCAGCAATTCTGGCTTAAGCCTGTCTACTAATCCAAAGCATCTATGAGATGGGCTGTCTAAATTCTAGGTTCAAGATAAACAGGAGCCTCCTGGCAGCCTATACCGAAGATCCCACTCCCCTCTGAGCTCAGCAATGATAATTATGAATTCATCTCCAGCTACCTGATTTCAACATAACTATGGGGTGAAGGTGAGGATTGGTTGAAGAGGCAAGATTACACCTTAGTACCTCTCTGAAAAAACTACCATCCACCCTATCAGAAAAGTAAAATTAGCCTTAAAAACACACAAACACAGAAAAAGAAACCAACGCTCACAGGTCTGGAAACAGTCCTAAAGTACCAAGGCCAGCAAGTGGAGGGGCCAAGATCTTAACCCAAATCAGCATGATCCCAAGATAGGCCCATCACACAGCGCTACCTCTGCACCTCATAAGGACCCACCCTGCAAATCCCGAGAAGAGACTCAAGAGCAGCAAACTTGGGCAACAAGACAGCAGAGAAGCCATAGGCAGCCACTGTTCTGCCTGTGCTCAGAGCCAGGCACGCCGTAGGGTTAAGGCGACAGACCCATCAGTCTCTAATGTGATGGGAGTGCACCTGCCCAGTGTACACCAGTGGGGAGTAGGGTCTCCAGCTGTCCCCAAGCTCCTTCAGGACCCAGCTGGGCCTGTCTAGCCAGACTTGAAGCTCCTCCCTCAGCCTGGAGGTTCCCTCTCTGGACTGGCCCCACAGCCCACTGAGAGCTCTCACACCCATCCCAGGCTCTATTTCTAAAGTTCCCAACTGGCCAACAGGTGGCAGGTACTTCAACAGGGGGCTGAACGAATAAATCAACAAACCAGTGACTGAAAGAATGAATAAGCACCACTGAGACTCAAAAGATACCCAGTGGTATTCTTATGTGCTTTTATAAGTCAGTAATCAAAACTGCTTACTCCTGTCACAGGGTTCCCAAACCAGCTCAGCAGCCATTTGAATGTCTGGGGTACTAGGGGAGAAAACCGGGTGGTAGCCCGGTAGCACCCAGTGGTATCCTGGAAAGCTCCAGACTGCTTCTCAAACCACCAAATACCAAGAGGGTCAATGTCTTTTCCTTATCAATGATCCCAGAAGTCTAAATTATGATAAATTTTTTTTAAAAAAGAAAGAAAATTCACACTGTAAAGCCATCTTGTTTCCCTAGGTCCTAGAAAACCCCCATCACCGAACGGTCACAACCATCACACTTCTCCATGGCTCCATGGATACAAAGGTCCTCAAACCTAAAATCATAACAGAGCTGACTTGAGAGCGCCCCACACTCACGGATCATCCAGGATGTACCGGGAGTGTACCACATGCCCAGGGACTGGTACAGGGGTGAATAAAACAAAGATCTCTCTACCCTTGTCAAAGACAAAGACAATAAATAAGACAGCTAAGTAGAAAAAGTAACACCAGAGAGTGGTAACTGATAAGGAGAAAAACATAAAGCAGGAAAGAGCATCTGGTGCTGGGAAAGGTGCCCTTTCATTTGGGGTGGAGAGGGCCTCCCTGAGAAGTGACTGAAGGAGACACGTGAAGAACCTGGAAAGAGCCTAGCTAAGAGCAAACACAAAGGCCCTAAGGCAGCGGGTGGTGGGGTAGTGGTGGGGGACACAGAGTAGTGGGAGAAGAGATAGCAGGGCAAGGAGCTGCAGTGGGATTCTGAGGCCATGTGTAAAGAAAGGACGGCAAGGGAACAACGAAGGACACAAGACTATCTGCCTGCAGGAGGCAGAAGGCAGTGGCTAGGACCAAGGCTGCAGGAAGCAGAGCTAACAAGATGCTAACAGGCCAGGGGTGAGAGAAGGAGGGGAGTCAAGGGCAACTCCAAGTTTCTGGGCTGAGCATGAATTGTTAGGTATTCACGAAAATATATTTCTGTATGTTTTCATTCCTCCAAATAAATTTGAGGTTAGTTGTGGGACATGGGTAGAAGGAGTCTGGTCCTTTCAAGGCTTGCCTGTAAGCTCTGTAAGGCAGAATCAGAGCACCTCTCATCTTCCCCACTACTGAGGCAATGCCTTCTAAGCATGCTACCCAGTATCCTATTGTGCTGTAAGATTTTCCCACTGTGGCTAGTGGGAACACAAATGATTCCAGGCCCTGTATGAGCTCCAAGGATTGTTCCAGTACTTCCAGGGCTCAAAGAATTTCCTCCCATGCATGTGCTCATCAGTACTCAGCTAAAGACTTCAGGAGAACCCTATTTATATCTCCAGAGCATGCTCTCTTTGCAGCTCTCTCCTCTCTGGTACTTTGTTCTGCAAATTTACTTTGGCTTCCCCAAATTCACAACTCAGTACCCCAACTCAAGGAAATCATCAGGCTCTGGACTACTCCCCAAGCCATGGCCTACAATCTCTCTCCAGGCAGCAAGCTACAACAATCCTAGGGGTCACCTAGTTTGTTTTCCTTCTCTTAGGGATCACTGTCCTCCTACCTGTAGTCCAATGTTAGAAAAGTGTTATTTGCTATATTTTGTCCTTTGTGTAGTTGTTTAAGGCAGGAGGATAAATCCAGTTCCAGTTACATCTTGCTTGGAAATAGAAGCCCAATTACATTTATTCTTAAAAATTAATGTACCACTGGGCTGGGCACGGTGGTTCATGCCTGTACCCATAGCATTCTGGGAGGCCGAGGCAGGAGGATTGCTCGAGGTCAGGAGTTTGAAACCAGTGTAAGCAAGAGCGAGACCCCGTCTCTAATAAAAATAGAAAGAAATTAATTGGCCAACTAAAAATATATAGAAAAAATTAACTGGGCATGGTTGCGCATGCCTGTAGTCCCAGCTACTTGGGAGGCTGAGGCAGAAGAATTGCTTGAGCCCAGGAGTTTGAGGTTGCTGTGAGCTAGGCTGATGCCACGGCACTCTAGCCCGGGTAACAGAGTGAAACTGTCTCAAAAAAAAAAAAAAAAAAACTAATGTACCAGAATGAACATTATACTAGTGTCCCCAAAATCCTATACACATATAGATTAAATGTATAAAGATATAAAATGTGTATATATTAATGTAAGGGACTAAAGTAACCCAGAAAATTTTCCATAGGAAAATGTATGTTAATACATATTTCTAAAATGGCAATATTGCTAAAAACACTACCAGAATACCACTAACAACTGAATACTATACCTATAATGTATTTTACCCTTTCTGAGTAAACTGGTTTTCTACCCTCAAGTAAAAGTTGTCATCTGGGCCAGGCAAGTGGCTCACACCTGTAATCCTAGCATTTCATGAGGTGGAGGTGTGAGGACTGCTTAAGGCCAGGACTTTAGACCAGCCTGCGCAACACAGTGAGACCTCATCTCTTCCCCCTCCACCAAAAAGTTGCCAGCTGTGGCCAGTGTGTGTACGCATGTGCGTGTGTGTGCATGTGTGTGTGTGTGAGAGAGAGACACGTGTATAATAAAAGAGGCTAAACCATAATCACATTTGTTTTCTTGGTAGGTTTATATTCCAGTTCTGAAAGTAGGTTCCAAAAAGAAATTCCAAATTAAACATGAAAAACTCAGACTCACAAAAAAGGCTTTTATAGGTAAACTTCTTACAAACATGAAGAAAAAAGTGTCATTTTGGGGTTTAAAAACAATAAAAGAGCTTCTCAAGTGACAGTGGCACATCCCAGATTATACTGTCCTAGGAAGGCTAACACACAATGCACACAAAACAACTGTGCCTGTGCTGGTGCCATTCTCATCTCCTGCCGCCCAGGCTTCAGGTCTGTCTGTCCGCATATATCCTCTGTCTCCTGTCAAACCCATCTCACATTGCACATGTGACCACAACATCCTCTGCCTTACACCCTTCAATTGGTCGCATTGCCTAAAAGGACCAAGTTCTCAGCAAAGGTGAAAGCATGACATGCAACTCCTGTGACCCTGCATAATTATTCGGTTGAAACTTATTACACACTCCTGCCTCATCCAACTATGTGCCTTTATTGCTTCCTTCCACCCTAAAACACCAATCTCCCCTTCCTTTACCAGACAACTTCTAGGCATCCCTTTCGAACCCCACTGTGGTATCACTTTTTTTTGTGAATTTTGCTCCCTACCCCTAAACCAATACATGTCACCATATAGCTAATTACTCTAAATACAAGTCCTATACAACTTCTGTGATACAGACTATCGTACATTCACTACACCACAAAATTACCTTCCACATGTCCATCTTCTCATCAGACACTCAACGCTTTTAAAACGCCATAATGCACCCCACATCCAGCAGGCACCCAGGAAGTAAGTGTCATTGAGGGAACTAAAATAAGTCCAACCAATAACCCACATTACCTTACCTACCTCAACCATAATTTTCTGGATTTTTTTTTCTTATTTTTTTTTTATTTCGGCATTTTATGGGGATACAGATTTTAAAGTTTCAATAAATGCCCTTTCTCCCCTCCCAATTTTCTGGATTTTTATACACTACCTTTTACTAGCTGCCTGCATTGAAGTCCAGGGATCACTATATGTGTTATAACTAAAATCACTATATGTGTGGTCACTAAAATACCTGCAACCTTCTCTGTCCCTTTCCTGAACTCAGCTTTCCAAAGCACATGCAGGTTCTTTGAGCAAGAGGCACTGCTTGCCTTAATATTAATACTTAAGACCTTTTCCACGTAGTTACAAAAAAATTGTAACTCTATACAAATGCAGTTGCCCTGTTTTAAGTCTATTAAACAATATAATTACTATTTGTTTTGATGCCACTTATCCAGAAGAAAAAAAAATGTCTAAGCAATCTTCAGAAAAAGTCCAGATGCCAGGATAAGTTTAGCATTACTGCTCTGTCATCTGATAGCACAGCAAATATTTGTAAAATACTTCAGGCCTCTATATTCAAGTACCATACAGCAAAAGGGAAAAATAACTTGAATTTATTAACAGCAGCAGACTTACAGCTCTGAAAATATGTATGTCTAACATATTACTCTTTAACAATCTTTAAAATACAAGTAATCTATTAAGGTCAAATAAAAAGTTGATACTGGCTGGGCGTGGTGGCTCATACCTGTTACCCCAAAGCTTTGGGAGACCAAGGCAGGAGGATCACTTGAGGCCAGGAGGTCTAGACTAGCCTGAGCAACACAGTGAGACCCTGTCTCTACAAAATTAAAAATAAAAAATGACGCTGGGCGTGGTGGCTCATGCCTATAATCCTAGCACTCTCGGAGGCCAAAGCAGGAGGATCACTCAAGGTCAGGAGTTCAAGACCAGCCTGAGCAAGGGTGAGGCCCCGTCTCTACTAAAAATAGAAGGAAATTAGCTGGACAACTAAAAAAATATATATAAAAAATTAGCCAGGCATGGTGGTGCATGCCTGTAGTACCTGCTACTCAGGAAGCTAAGGCAGAAGGATTGCTTAAGGCCAGCAATTTGAGGTTGCTGTGAGATAGGCTGATGCCACGGCACTCTAGTCTTGCAACAGAGCAAGACTCTGTCCCCCCCACCAAAAAAAAGGCCATGGTGGTGTACACCTGTATTTCCAGCTACTTGGGAGGCTAAGGTAGGAGAACTGCCCGAGCCTGGCAGTTGGGTGCTGCAACAAGCTACGACGACACCACTGCACTCCAGCAGAGGCAACACAGCGAGACCCTGTCTCTAAATAAAAAATTTTTTAATTAGCCAGGTGTGGTGGCCAGTGTGCCTGTAATCCTGACTCCCCAGGAGCTGGAGGTTGCAGCTTGGGCAACAGTGAGACCTTGCCTCTAAGGAATAAATCAATAATTTTCAAAAGTTGACATCAAAGGCTACTTACTAACTTCTCAGACTGCAGTTTGCATCCCCTTCAAAATCTGAAGGTACTTGAAAATCAGAGTAACTAGCCATTTTGTATACAATGTTAATAGTCTTCATAGCAATACCTAGAAATCACAATAGGGTAAAATAAAACCACTTATATAAAACAGAGGCTGGAAAAGGCTTTTATTCAGAGAACTGAAAAATGGGAACAATTTGAAAATTAAGTGACCTGCAGACATTCCAAAGCAGTCATGTGCACACCTGGGGCTCCATGCCCCATTTCTCTCCCAAGGACTTTATGGGGTAGAAACACTCACAAAACTGTTCAGAGAAGGGTGACTGAATAGACACTAAATCTCCATCTATGGAGTGGAAGCGCTGCAAACAAAATAGTAAAATGAAATGTCACACTGCTACAGTCTTTACTGGGAAGAGGGAGGAGGATGGAATTAGGAAAATTCATTTTATTTTGTGTTCTCTGTTTAACTTAAAAATTTCTCAATGAGCATGCATTACTTTATCATCAGAAAAGCAAACTGCCCTAAAAAGAGGACTTCTGGAAGCTGAAGAGTAGGCCAGCTGGTAATGTGCAGGAACTAATAAATTCAACCCTCTCTCAGCAGAGAAGGACATGTCTTAGGGCAGGGGTCATCAAACTTTTTAAACAGGGGACCAGTTCACTGTCCCTCAGGACTGTTGGAGAGTGCGCACTGTGGGCCTGGGACGAGTCAGCTGCTAAGCAGGACAGGCAGCGGCAGCAAAAACACCCAGCGGGCGGGCCGGATAAATGTCCTAGGCGGGTCACATGTGGAAATCAGGCCATAGTTTAAGGACACCTGTCTTAGGGTCTCAGGGTCCCCAGCACTCACCCCTGTGCCACGCACAGAGCAAGGAGACTGAGGGCTCCCTGCTAGTTCTGACTCACAGCTCATTATTTCATCCACATCTGACAGACCCCACTGAGGCAGACAGCACCCTGCAGCTATGGCTTGCCTCTCCACTGCCTCCACTTGAAGACCACAGCACTAATGAGACACACTCTAGGGCTGACAGGAACTCTTGAAGGGTCCGGTAACAAACTTTTTAAATTTTACCAAGAGAAGATAACTGGTAAAACACCATTAGGTAAGGAATGGTAAACCAACCTAACCATAGGCAAGACAATTCACTTCACAGTTAGAAGCTTTACCTTTGTTTGATTCTAATAAAGTTAGGCCTAAGGCACAAAAATTCTTGCATTTATAGTGAAAAGGTAGGTATTTTACTATCAGAATTTCTGGAAACATATTTCATTTTGAGTATTTTTAAACTATAATCTCGTATTTGGATTTTAAAAAAAGATTATGTTTTCTACAAATATATGCTTAAACATTCTTTCTGATATTAAGTATGAGATATATATGGCTACATATATAATTTTGTCCTTTTTATTTTACTATTATTTTTTAATATAATTATTTTAAAACTTTTTTTATAATTTTCTTTTTCTTACTTTTTCTTTCACAGTATCACCATAGTCTGATAGAATTGTAACTGTAAGATACAATGCTTACTATTATATATAAACATTAGAAAATTTAACAAAAATCTATACCAAACAGCTTTTGAAATCTCTATTTTTAACCTTGACAATCACACTTCAATATTACTAACAAGCCTGATTTAAAAAAAGCAAAGTCAAATTGGGCACAGTAGTGCACATCTGTGGTCAGTCTCAGCTACTCGGGAGGCTGAGGTGGGAGGATCACTTGATCGCAGGAATTCAAGGCTGTTGGGCAATATAATCATGCCTGCAAAACAGCCACTCAAGCCTGGGCAACATATCAAGACCTCATCTCTCTTAAAAAAATTAAAAAAAAATAGTAAAGTCAAGAGAAATCTTAGATAGCTTTAAGCTTATCCCCAAAGTCTAATACAAGACTAGAGCTACACATTCAATTTGGTAGCTACTGGTCACACGTGGGTATTGCGCACTTGAAATGTGGTTAAGTCCAAATTGAGATGCGCCTTGAGTATAAAATACAAACCAGATTTCAAAGACTTAGTATGAAAAAAAGATTTTCTTTTTGAGACAAGGTCTTACTCTGTAAGGACAAATACTATTAAGGCTGATCAAGGAAAAAAGGGAAAAAGGACAAAAAACCAGGGTAAAAAATGAAAATGTTGTTACAGATTAAACAGTCATTTAAAATAATATAGATACTGTCCATATCTTTAGGTCAAACTTTAATTTTATTTATTTATTTTTAAATTTTCTCTTCATATACTTTATCTCAGCATCTATAGGTCAAATTTTAGGTTAAAAGTTTTTTGGGCTTTTTAATTCCTCAGTGTAGGGGAATAGGTGAAAGTTTGATGAAGTGCTCAAACAATTCCTAGAAAAATACAACTGACCAAAATAGATAAAAGAGAAACCAAAGCAATACTCTAATTATTAAATAAACTCAACCAGGCAGGGTGTCATGACTTACGCCTGTAATCCTAGCACTCTGGGAGGCAAAGGTGGAAGGATCACTTGAGGCCAGGAAGACGTCTGAGACCAGCCTGAGCAAGAGCCACACCACCATCTCTACAAAAAAATAGAAAAAAGTAGCCAGGCATGGGGGTACACGCCTGTAGTTCCAACTACTCGGGAGGCTGAGACACAAGAATCACTTCAACCCAGGAGTTCAAGGTTGTAGTGAGCTATGACGATGTCACTGTCCCCTAGCCCAGGCAACACAGTAAGACTGTCTCAGAAAAAAAAATAATAATGCAGGCTCTAAAGCCAGACTTGCCATCATTTACTAGCCATGTCAACATAGCTCAGCTTCCTCAACTGAAAATGAGCACAATATCACCACTGGCCTCACAGACTTGCCATGAGGAGTAAGTGAATTCACACATGTAAGTGCTTAAAGCCACTCTCCTGGTATGTGGTAAGAGATTCTCAAGAGACAGCCAGCATAATGGTTAATAAGGGATAACTTGTGTTTTGCACATGAGAAATATCGGCTCCTTGAAGAAGTCACTGTTTTTGCTCTAGTCAAATCAATGTCACCTGACCACCAAGGCTCTAAGGCTGAATAAAATAAAAATTCCTGTAGACCAAAGAGCTCAAAACCATTCCACCAATGCACCATATTCCTACTATCTGAAGGCACATTTTTGAAATTACTCTGTTTGGGGTTAATATACATTTTACTTTTTAAAATATTCATTCTATGTTATTATTTATTTTTATTTTTTGTTGATGACCTTTTGTGAATGTGGATGTTTTTAGAGTTAACTAAAATTAAGCAACAAGAGAAGAGATTTTCAAGAGGTGAAATCCCTGGAAGCCTCCCCACAGAGACATGCCTAATAAAGGGGCTGCAGAGATCCTAAACCAAAGGCCATCTACTCAGACCCATGCGTGAAAGCTCTGGGCCAGGCCATGCTGAAGAGCAATCACAATGGAACAAAAGAAGTAGCCAAGTGTCTGTTCTCACGCGATGGTCTATGACCAATGCAAACAAAGGTAAATGCAAATAGAACATGTTACCAGAAACATACAAATAGAAATAAACCTTGTAAGGTTAGAAAATACAGGTGACCACTGCACAACACAGAGGTTAGGGGAACTGACACTCAATGCAGTCAAAAATCTGTGTAAAACTTTTGAGTCCCCCAAAACTTAACTATTAATAACCTACTGTTGACCAGAAGAATCCTTACCAGTAACATAGACTGTCAATTAACACATTTTATATACATATTATATACTGTATTCTTACAATAAAGTAAGCTAGGGAAAAGAAAATGCTATTAAGAAACTCACAAGAAAGTTATGTATTACTATAAATATCAATATCAATATATAATTAATATAAATATTAATATATTCATTAAGTGGAAGTGGATCATAAAGGTCTTCATCCTCATCTTCATGTAGAGGAGGAGGAAGAGGAAGAGATTTGTCTTGTCTCAGGGTGGCAGAGACGGAAGAGGTAGAGGAGATAGAAGGGGAGGCAAGAAAGGCAGGTACACTTAATAATGTAACTTTTACTGAAAAAAATCCATACATAAGCAGACACATACAGTTCTCCTACATTCCTATTTCTTCTATGCAGCGCACTCTGTTTCCTGAAGACCTACAAGGTGCCACAGATGGATCCAAACACCAAATATATGCTTTGGCTCTTGGGAAAATGGCATGACAGCAAACTGTTTCAATATAATGAAAATTAAAAGTATGAATGTAAAAATATGTAGATGTTGCTACTGAAGCACAGAGATGTGATGCATTGCTAAGTGCTAAATGTGCCAGGTATTGTGCTAAATGCTACACACGTATTTTCTCTTTCCACCCTTACAATGACTCTTAAGGTAGGCACTATTACCCTACTGAAAACTAAGGAACAGAACCGTTAAATAACTTCACCTAACATCACAGAACTAACATGTGAATCCAGGCAGTCTGAATCTGGGACCTGGACTCACCAACACTACACAATTAACGGCCTCTCTCCAAATATTCCCAATGCTTACTTGATGGGCTCATGAAGAACACGGCAGCAAGAATGGGTGGGGGAGATAAGTGTGCTCAATAGCACAGACTCTTATCAAGGACAATCTGGCTGCCACCACTGTTTTTGTTTGTTTGTTTGTTTGTTTTTTGTTTTTGAGACAAAGTCTCACTCTGTTGCCCACGCTAGAGTGAGTGCCCTGACGTCACCCTAGCTCACAGCAACTTCAAACTCCTGGGCTCAAGCAATCCTACTGTCTCAGCCTCCCGAGTAGCTGAGACGACAGGCATGTGCCACCATGCCCAGCTAATTTTTCTATATATATTAATTGGCCAATTAATTTCTATTTATTGTAGAGACGGGGTCTCGCTCTTGCTCAGTTTGGTTTCTAACTCCTGACCTTGAGCAATCTGCCCGCCTCAGCCTCCCAGAGTGCTAGGATTACAGGGGTGAGCCACCATGCCTGGCCACACCACCACTGTTGATATGCAAACTGCACAATACCTAAGGAGATAAGCAGTTGCTGGGTAGCAGGTTCATTACATTGAACCCTTTCATCACAGAGGGGACTGTGATTTGTCCTCCCTAGAAGAGACAATTATTCTTGATATAGATTTGCTTTCTGTATCAGTCACGGTCAAGACACAGAAACTACATAGGAATTTGAACAGAGATAGTTTAGCATTTTTAAAAAAGTATTAACTAAGGCCGGGTGCGGTGGCTCACACCTGTAATCCTAGCACTCTGAGAGGCCGAGGCGGGAGGATCGATAAGGTCAGGAGTTCGAAACCAGCCTGAACAAGAGTGAGACCCCCGTCTCTACTAAAAATAGAAAGAAATTAATTGGCCAACTAAAAATATATAGAAAAAAATTAGCCGGGCATGGTGGCGCATGCCTGTAGTCCCAGCTACTCAGGAGGCTGAGGCAGGGGGATCACTTGAGCTCAGGAGTTTGAGGTTGCTGTAAGCTAGGCTGATGCCACAGCACTCTATCCTGGGCAACAGAGTGAGACTCTGTCCCGCCCCCCCCCCAAAAAAAGTATTAACTAGTAACTACTAAAGGGTAAAGAACCAGATCAGCAGATACAGGGAGCATCCACTACCCCTAGGTTTGAGGCAGAATACCCAAAGAAGAAACAAATGAGGAAGAGTCCCCTCCACATCACCTACCATCAAGGGTGTG